AGGATAGGAAAGAGTTCGGATAAAGATTTCAAAGACAATTATTTGTTAAACGCAGTACTATGGATTCATCACATTTCGGCGACCTTCTGCTGAATGTTATGGTCAAGATAGGATTTTAGTTAAGTGGGCTGTCAAGGACCATGCTAGATTTAGTGACGAATTGGGTACAAGAATTTACTTATAGCTGAGGTCAAAGTTGGTACAAGGAAACAGGCACCCACCTGGCGTGTAGAATGTGGGCGAGCATAAGTAAACACCACCGGCGGGCCAAGTCCCGGTTAGCCCCATAAGTCAAAGGAGAACAGAAGGAGGACTTTTTGGTGCAGATATGGTCGTGGTATTAAGGCATCGGTTAATTATAGCGAAACAGCGACTATTGTTGACTGAGTTCGGTGTTCTCTTGTAGGATTGTAAACGACCTTTGTGGAGATATAGTCCAAGGGTTGATAAATGGGTATGCGATGCATTACCCAACGGGTGGTATTTCAGGTGGCATTCGTTCAAGCGCTGCATGATTGATCGCAAAATTTAAAGACTTAGTTATCTCTTTCGTTATTTAATGCGCTGGTAAATGTTTCCACATTTATGATTAGTGTAAGTAAAAATGTACATGAATCTTGGTTTGATCAGCCATTTTGATATATGTAGGATACCCATTTGGAATGAAACAACCTGCATATTGTGCCTTTTTGTCAAGCCGCGAATGAAACCTGTTGAGTTAATTATGTTTTTTTAGCTAATACTGTGCGCATACCGATCGAAGATGACTTCCGACAACCAGCGTCGTTCGTACATAGGAATTCATTTTCGGCCAGCAAGCCTAGCAACACCTTTTGCTGTGTGGGGTTCATAAATGTAGATCGTGTAACGTAAGCCCAAATAATAAGACCTGTGATCAACATATGTGGGTGTTTATTCAGCAGATGTCCTCTGCAAACCAAACTAATGTTAAACACTATATATGTTGTCACGAAAACTCCACTTGTAATGCTCATCCAGAAACTGTAATGTAACAGGAGTAAATGAAGCGGAGGTTACATAAATCGTTGGTGTTTAGGCGTGTTGGGGACAGTTATCGTCTACTGTATGCAGAGGGGAATCTGGCAAGCATACGCGTGCTTTCAAAAAATTCTCATCGGGCATTTCGAAGGTGCCATGCCTTTTTCGCATTTGCGTTCCACTATAAGATTTTATGTATTCTGCTCACCAAGATTGCATGCTATTGTCGCTATTTACAGTACGTGGGCTAACTCATGAAATGTTATCCAAAAATCCGAAATGCGTTTTCGTTTCGAAAAGAATAATTAGATAGGGTTGCAAAACGAGTCAGTCGGCAAAATACTTCTACAATATTTCAGTTACCACAGGACGGCGGCCTTCGAATGAACTTCGCTGCGGCTGCATGCAAAACCTGCACTCTGTAAAAAAGACTACTTACGTAGCAGGAATTCTTCTTATTGATTCTCAGTGTCCTTAAAAATTCAATTATAATTCATGTTAAACTCGCAAAAATATTTATTCTTTTGCTCATTTGGTAGACAATTACGTCGTTATTCAATCTTATATTCCACGGATGAGTATACTTCGGTTTTCAAGGACTTTTCCGATTCCCGAAGGGAACTTTTCGAACATCTTAATGGTTTTGAATCCGCTCTACCGTTACAATTAGTTTCAGGGTTTCCAAACTACAAGCCGTATATTTTCTGCGTTCGGAAATCCACACATTTCTCTACGGTAATAAATGATAACTATTTGGAGTTCCTAAAAATTGGCAGTGGATTAGATTCACACTGTTAAATAAACGAGCCATTTCGCGGTCATTTCCCGGTATTTAATAATCCCACAATTAAAAACTTTTTAAAACCAAATTATGTCTCCCATGTGAATATATAATTACAGCTAGATGTCATTGACTATCGAATGAGCAAGAGTATAAATAGTTTTATGACTATATTTCATTTTAAAAATGACATTTTTAGGGCAACGATAATCAAGGAGAAAAAGGATGCTAATTCAGTAGTCATTTTTACAGGGTGAAGTTTCTGCATGCAGTCACAAGGAAGTTCAATAAAAAGCCAGATTCCTTCGGTAACTGAAATACTATAGAAGTATGTTCCACAATGATTAGTTTCATAACCCTTCTTCTCCAATCTTTTCGAAACCAAAACGCATTGAAGACTTTTATTTGACATTTCATGAGTTAGCCCACCTACGGTTATTATTTTCCCTAGCATTTGTACCGCCTAATTTGAGTTTCCAGAACTTTAGTCGTTTACTCCAAATATACTGACCGATACTGACTAGCCGACAATTTTCTTGAGGTCACCCGGCCGTCAAAATCATTATACTTGTTCCACAATTATTGTCGACTCCAGAGTAGTTCTCGGGAAGCAGCCCCTTCTCCATTTACTAATTTTTCTGTATTAGCAGTTTTGGATTAGACGCGAGCTTTAACACCGTAATGCTGAATTCACATATGAAGATGATCCAGTTAGTGTTGTGTGTGGTTTCGCATAAGTGTAAGTCGAACTAGTAAACCTATGTCCATCAGCTAAAATAACATCGAATAAGTTTGGTTGCATGCATATATGTGCAGTTAGATGGCTCAAACGTCAGAAACCTGTGGTGAAAGCGCACACATACAAAAGCCGCTGGGCACCTATTCGTAGGGTAACATTTGAACGCCGTCGGTCATGCATGGTGCATCGACTGTCTGCACGACAGACTTACTCGACCCATCAGGGGGATGGGACGGTTGAACAGGCTGCCTGACTTACAGCTGTGCCCCGTCGCATACTCGGGGGGACAGTTGCCCTAGGTTTCAAGAAGGCGAGTCAACATGGAGCTGATTGACGAGGATAATGCACTTTCTCAAATTATGCAGACATTATCTCCTAGGTTCTTTTTCTTGCCCATATATTTCAGCCACAAATTTCACATTGGAATACTCTGATTATCAATTAAATATATTTCAATAAATCTTATAACATCGATATCTAATAGTACATAGTAATCAGGTATATTTACATCGACAACGCCAATTATTAACATCCCAAACAGGACGCATCATAGGTTAGTTTTCAAGGCAACACAAAATGGTTTGAGAAGAAGTTGTATGCCAAAGTTTCCTCTCTTTTTTTCAAAATGAGGGCAGATTTAACACGGCAGCTTTCGTGCATTTTTTTTCCGAAACGAAAGTCGGCAAATCAAGGAGTTATTAAAAATGTGGAGAGTAGGCACACTATTCTTCAAAACGCAGGCACTACAGAGCTTTATGGTGAGGGATCTTCAAGTGTTCTAAGTATTTTAACAATTAGACGGAAACTTTGTCTGGGTGGATCATCTGAAGGATAGCATCTTCTCAGCTTTTCAAAGCGTCTTATCTTCACCTGCTTCTTTAAAACGACGAACGCACTCTTGTCACACTCGCCAGGAAATGGGCGTATTATAGATTTTTATATGGCCACACTATAGCCAGCAATAGTCTTTCGGATTTCTTTTGATCGATGGGGCAGCCGCTATCTTCGTAACTCAGGAAATGAAGCGGGGTACGTTGCTAAACGAAGTTTGTTAGTGTATTTGATTATTTTTTTAAGGAAGCTGACTAATAGTGTTTACGTTGGGACCGTCTGTTCCACTTACAATAAGGTTACAAACTGCACCCTATTTGGTTTTTATGAAGACAACAGCATATTGTTTCCATAGGATTAGTTACAATCCTGCTTTGGAAAATGGCAATTAAAAACCCAACTACTGTAAAAATCCGACTTCAGATACTATTAAAGATCGTAGAAATACTTGGGGATAAATAGGGAAGGGCGAAAAATCAAACGTAAGCAACTGCATTTGAATTATTTCAGATTGCACACTGTTTCCAACATCACAAAGTTATGTTTAATAATTCGCAGTTTTGTGGAATTATCATTTAATTTATATCATACGATTGAAAATACTTGTCATTTTCCAAGCACATACCACCGATTTGGATCCCAAAAAGGACATGACTAGTAGAAATTCAGAACCGATTATATTACTTGTTCTGACCTATATGGTGCGCTACCTTTGTTTCAGTTTCAGTTTATTAAGGGAAATATAGGCGAGCGCCTTTGAACTCCCTATTGGTTACTAGTCGTCGGAGAAAAACAATGATAGTGGGAAGGAGAAAAAGGGGTTTTGTACAAAATCGCTGACAGATAGTCAAAAAGAGTAATCAATAACTGTTACTAACAAGTTGCAAGTAGTTTAAACAAGTTTAAGTTGGTGCCGGTTATGCGAGTGGATGCAAGGCTGGTAACTGGGAGGCTTGATGCGCGTCAAGTATAAACTTAAAGGAATTCACACAGGAGGAGGTTGCAACATCGGTGGGCAGGGCATTCCACGCTGCAACCACTCTGTGACTGAAAAAGAACTTTCTCCCATTGATTCTTGCTTTCCCGGCGCGTAGTTTTAGGGGATGACCGCGCAAATTGGGCGTGTTAGCTTGTGTGAAATAATCAGTGGGATCTAAACAACAGTCTAGGCCGTTGATAATGCGAAATGCAAGTATAAGGTCACCACGTAATTGCCTGTAGGAAAGTGGAAACAGGTTGAGAGTTGACAGTCGAGATTCGTAAGACAGCGCTCCCAGACCCTGTGTCATTTTGGTCGACCGTCTCTGGACCTTCTCCAAAACGGTGTAGTCCTTGGCAGTCCAAGGTCTCCACGCCTGTATGGCGTATTCTAGATGAGGCCTCACGTAGGTGCCAAATATTTTTGAAAAGCTGTCTGGATCTAATCCCATAAATGCTCGCGCAGTGCAGTGTTGGTTTGAGTGAAGATGTAATCCATACACCCAAGTCCTTCTGACTGTCAACCTGTTGCAGTGGTGTGCCCTCTAGAAAGTTAGTCCTGGAGGTAAGACTCACTGGCCTGTAGTTATTCGCAGACGCACGACTTCCGCTCTTAAAAAGCGGAGTGATGGTAGCGGACTTCCAGTCAGAGGGTAGGCATCCAGTAAGAAATTATGTTTGGAAGATCAAGGCTAATGGCTTGGACATTTCGGGAGCTAGCTCCTTCAGCAGCTTGGCGGGGATTGCATCAGGGCCTGGGGAGGTCGATTCTTTCAGATTAAGTAACTCGTTCCGAACAATTGCTTCGGTAAAGAATACGGCTTCAAGGGTAGGCTTTTCTTCGTCTTCACAAATGGAAGAGAGAAAATCAGGTTCACTTGTCACGACGGACCGGGAAAACTGAGAGAGGTGTTCAGCCTTATCCTTGTCATCGGAGATTTCCATTCTCTCGGCTGTTCGCAGCAGTGGGATGGGGTCTTTGTTTCGCGTGCTCTATCTTTGTAGCTGTAGAGGACTTTGGGATTAACCCTGGCACGGTTGAGAAGATCCTTTTCAAAGGCTTTCCGATCTCTAGCGATGAGAACTTTGACCCGATTTCTCCGAGACTTATAACTGCTTAGGGATTCTGGCGTCCGGTCAGTCAGGGATCTTTCCCAAAGCTTCCTCTTCTTGTTAGCCTCCTTTTTTAAGGACGGAGTCAGCCAGCGGGGTCTATTTGTTAGTCTTCTGTGCATGACTGGGCAATGGTTGGAGATGAGGTTGTGGACTAACTCTTTGAACTGACACCAAACCTCTCCGACATCGCCGGAAAGAGTGGATGCCCAGTCGATAGGACTTAGATCCCTTCTCATCTGTTCGAAATCTCCGCGCTAGATATTGGGTCGGGAACCGAGCGGTTGTGCAGGCAGGGAGAATAAGGTGTATTCCCACATGAGAACTACATGGTCACTCTGACCCAACGGGGGAGGCAATTAACAACGTCGATATTGTCAGAGGAGTTAGTGAATACCAGATCAAGGCAATTCATTTGCTGGCCCTCTCGAACTCTCGTTGGAAACATTACGTGTTGGGTTAGAAGCAGATTGTCGGAGGTACGCAGTAACTGCTGGTCGAATCCTGCTTCAGAGCAGTCGGCTGAAGCCGAGCTCCAGTTTATGTGAGGTGCATTAAAATCTCCGACGATGAGAGTAGCCGGTCGCATTGAAAATAGCCTAAGCTCCTCCAGCAGTTGGGCATCAGCGTCAGGGTCATTTCTCGGGGGGCGATATACTGTCAAGATATCGAGGCTTTGAGAGCCCGATGTCCTTATGGTCAGCCACAACGCTTCCGTACTGCAAGTAAATTGGGCAGTTTGCTCTGAAACGTATAAGCCATTTTTAACAAATGTTACTATGCCTCCACCCCTCCTGATTTGTCTGTCTCTGCGGAACAGTTGACATCCAGGGAGCATGAGTTCTCTATCATCAATCTGTTCGGAAAGCCATGTTTCTGTTATTGAGATAACGTCTGGGTGGAGGTCATGGGTAAGGATACGAAGTTCATCCAGTTTAGAAAGTACACTTTGCGCATTGGTATACATGAATATGAGTTTCGAGTTCATGCGTACTTTTTTATCAACCCCGACACAGGCTACCGTGGTACCTGTGCGGTCATTCGGATCGGCTTGATCCAGAGGGGGGCGGAATGTCGTTTGACTATCCGGTCGTTGTAGATTGTCAAGTCTTTTTCTCCGTTGGTTTGTCGTGTTCTCAATTCTAGGACAAGTTCGCGGCGTTTCATTCTCTCGGCAGGTGAGTAGTCCGGCTGAAAAAACACTCCTTTATGGGAATTTTTCCGTCGAAAACGTCTAAAAAGGATTAGTTTCGCCTGCTCATTGCTACCTAGGACAAGTTTCAGGGGTCTTGGTCGTGTCTGTGGAGCGGCGGTTGTACGGCTGTCAGCTACGGCGGTTGAACGGATGCCAGCTACGACGACCGGAGAGTTGGCCTAATTCTCCTTTGCTTAGTTTGTTTTTTTTCACCTTTTTGAAGATAAAAAATTGCATTTTGTAAGAACCTTTCCTCTGCCCCGAAAACCATATCCATTAAGTCGATAGTTCTAAATTGTGCATCTTTTCGTTGCAAGAATATAAAGCGGCTATTAACCTTTGGGCAGACGCCTACGAAGCATTGGACAAATATCCAATATACCCTTGAAAATATTTCATAACGACTTTTTATTTAACAAAACTATTAAAAAGTAGCATGAAGTCACACGACGAATGACCGGGTTTGCCAGCATTGGGTAAAAATTCCGCAAGTCTCGCTTCATAGCGTCTGCGCAGCAATGGAAACTGCGCGGATTATTTTTTAACAATTAAACAGACCTTGAGCTAAAACAACTTCGGATGCAGGGACGGATGACATTAACAAGCCGATGAAGCGATCGCTATAGCAAGGGCGTTATTCAACTGACGTTTAGGGTTCTCACTTGAACCTGTTACCAGAGACAGTGGCAGGAACTGGCAATATTTATAGGATGCTACTGCTATGCTACCGCATATCTATAGTAATTAAATTTATCCCCTTCATCAGGGATTGTTGCCCACTGGTGCCCTAATTTATAGATGGCCGGCATGCAAGTTGTCGATTGCTGAAATCGCGCGACTGCAAATAACTACAGGCCGGTGAGTCTTACGTCCATCTTTTGCGAAATCAGGGATGAGATCTTTAATTAAGCAAAGCCTCTTTAATGTACAATAGGCTTTTGAAGTGGTAGGACCTGTCACACAAATTTCGTCTGTTAACTCGAGAGCAAAGTGGTGCGCGTCATTTAAATCTACTTCAAATAGACCCTCGACATCTTTCCTCACTATGTCTCTTGCACAAACTGCACAACGCCAGAATTTGTCGACACCCTCTTTTAAGGATCCCGAGCTTTATGGTTGGTAGGTCCCAAGGAGTGGAGGTCGGACGTCAAAAGTCCTCAGAGGTAAGCCTGGTGAGTGGCGTCCTACAGGTCTCAACTCTAGGTCCCAGGCTATCCCTCGTTTTAATAAATGACGCATAAATCGCCCAAAAAGGATGGACAAAATGATAAAATAACAACCAGCTTCGAAGGCTTTCCTTTTGAGTACAAAATAAATATACAATCTGCCTTCCTTGAACTTGTTAAAGCAAGATTTATAATACAAATCACGCTTTTACCTCAATTAGCTATCCATCCTGGCATTAAGCTGGCAATGTGCACTAATGAAAAAGGGTTTACGATGCTAGTAAATCCCGTTTCGTAAAGTGTAAAATACAACGACGGCAACTTATGTTTCGCATATGCCTTTAAGGAATCGTTTTCACATGTTGCACCTAAAATTTCAACTGCTAGATTTATAATGGGGCATGTTAAGTTGGATTAATTGGTCTTAGACGTATTCTATGCAAAGCGTTCCTTAACAGGGCAATGGTTTCAGATAATGCGCATTCTACATGATGACATTTACATACCGCGGGTCATTATTTGCATATCGACTGTCCGGCTGAGAAAGGTACCCGAATCCATGGGACACAACAGTGGGTGGGTGATTGAGCAGCCTGTTTGACCGATAGTCTTGACCCGTCACATAATCAGAATAAGAGTTGTCCTAGGTTTCAACAGTGCTAGTTGACATTTTAATTGACAGGACAACATCAAAGTTCTTTTTCTGTTATTTCTCGCTTGCAGGGTCAACTGGGCCACTGACGGACGGGGGAAATACGCTTTCTTAAGTTAAGCAGAAATTCTCTGTAAGGCGGTTACTTAACCCATACCACTTTTCTTGCCATGACAAGAGATCTCTCCCACAAATACCGCGTTGGAATATTCTCAATTTCAGTAAAGCGTATTCAACTGAAATTGATAAACGCGTGTTCCCTGGCCGTTAGTAATCGAGAAACTGTGTTTTATTTTGTTTTTATCTCTAATACCAGTTATGAGGTCGTAAATTAGAGGCATACAAAAGCAGATTTCGGTACATCACGAAAGAGCGTTGCGTTTATACCCAGAATCACATACACTTTATAAGAGAGGTGCGGTCTGCAGAAACGAAATATAGCAACTTTCACCATGGTGGTGCCAATCTCAATGATCAGCTAACGGGTGACAATTACTTATTAATCATATGATGCTCCAACGAACACTACTGCATACGGTCGAGCGCGATGTGAGGCTTTAATGCGACGTTCGAAATCTCTATGCTTTCGAAACGTTCGATGAGTAAACGTCTGTCTTCACATTCCATAATTTAGTTCCTGGACCGTCCGCTTGCTTCAGAGTGCAAGAAACGGTTGTAAGTCGTCTCCTCTTCTTCTGGTTCCCAAACAGAGGGTACTTCAGACAGGTACCTTAGCGCTCTGTCACTCTGATTATGACAGTGCGCCTGGGATTGCGTTATAAAATAATTAGTGTTTAGTTATTTTGCGCAAATAAAACTTGTTCCGGCTTGCATCGTGAACTGTCCATGACCTGAACGTTTGTCTGATTATCCCAATCTCCGAGATGACGTTTTTTCAGGATTAAGTGATTGCACATCATTTGCATATATACTGCTGTTTGTATCGTTTACACCCTACAGTGTTTACGCTTGTTTCTTTTAGTAAACATAATTAAGCAAAATGAAATGGGTATAACTGGTCGAAACTTGACAACTGCAAGACTGGATGTTCAGCTCGAGAACGTCAGGTTAGAGCAGATACGAACAATCTGGGTTTTTAAAGCAAAACGGAAAATCCGTCTTTTTAGAACATTGATAGTCTGTATGACGTAATGACCATGCTCCTTGGAATCAATAAATCAGTCATATGTACTACGAACCCATTGAAAGTCGATGTTTTAGGGTGGAAACACTATATTTCATGGTAACCTGCCGACACAAAATGCTAGATAATTACAAGTTTGTCTAAGCGTTGTTTAATTTTTGGTAAACCAAACACGTTGGCCGTTCTATCCGCAATGTCTCACTCTCACTGGCTGTACTGCCTTGCCGTCGAATGCCAGCCATGCGGGCAAACGTATCCCCTCCCACTGGGGCTATTCAAATCTGGTCTTTCTTCTTAACCTTCGCCAAACGTCAGTCTTTACCCAATCATAGCACTGAGCCTGCCAACAACCTGAACCCGTTTTTCACCTCCAACCCACTCTTAGTTGGCTTTTAGGAAAATTGGAATTCGGCAGTGTTTTTATACAAGCAGAACTATCTAGTAATGTATAAAGTGTTTGTCCAATGGATTATAACTGTCTTTTCTTTTTGTGCGTTCTGTTCTAAAGCAACTGGTGCTCAGGCCGCCATGTATGATTCTGTTGACGATCACATTTGAAGGACAGATGATGATCCTTCCTTTTTTAACTTTAGAGCTGTGTGACAGAGACGATACTGCTACAGTGTTCGGGGAAGTTGCGTTGCGTGTGAGAGAACATTTCTGCTTATGAAAAAT